CCGCGAAAACATAATTTTCTTTTACCTACACTCACGCACACGAACACAATTACACAATAGAATTTAAGAAAATGTATTTTATAAATAAGATTTCGTAAATCGAATTAAATGTCCCTTTATTAAATTTTATCTTTTTTATCATTTATTTTCATTTTCTTGAATAAATGTAACGTTAAATTTTAAATTCGAGTAATTCATTAACCCGACCTCCTTACTGTTATCCGAAATCGCACAAGGTCCCGTCCCGGGTAATAAGGATTCAATTCCTTTACCAGAAAGACCGCCGAACGAACGGCCTTTCGATAGAGTAAGAGCGACCCTTCCGGTCGCTTGACCTATCTGAAGCCCTGGTCTGTTCGTTCGACTCTAGGACACGCATCGTCTAGCGTTTGTCTAGAGGTAAGTAGGTTACGCCCTCCCGCTGACTCTTCCTTTATTTGAGTCTGGACGTAACAAAAAAATAACTCTAAAAAATAAAAACCTTTAAAAAATCAAAACTAAATATGAAATCAAGTTAACTATAGCCAAGTACATAGAAGCAGTTCAGTTTGTAAGAGTTTGTATTTTAAAATAGTATTAAATAGAAAAAAAATGAGAAACCAATGGACAAGCATTCAAATAAAACAAGAAAAAATTATGAAAAATGAAATTAATGTGTCCATGATATGAGACAATATTTAAATTAAACACACTCTCCATTAGATAAATGTATATGTACTTCTCACGATTCTAAAAAGAAATAATTATTATTCTTTTTTCTAATCACATGTTGATTCGTTTTCCATAATATCCGAAAACAATGTAGTACGCAACTGAAAAAAAAGAAAAGAAATAATTAATACATTTATATACATATATACATTAGCTAACATTAATATCCCAGACAGCCAACTGTCTGTGAGGTTGCTGTTATGTTGCCAACAATTGTTGAAGCAGCTAATTTTGAAAAACTAGGAACAAGGTGCGACAGCATTATGTTTGTTGGATTGAACTCATGTGATTTTTAAATCTAAGAACGACAAATTGATGGCAACATGTTAACACTGATTTGTTACCCGCAAAAAAGAGATTTTAGCAGCAACTTGACGACATTTGTTGTCATCCGCGATTAACAGCATACTGATATTAATAATATACATATGGAGGTGCGATTCATTGATACATTTAGATTTATGAACAAAAGTCTAGATTCATTAGTTAAAAACTTACTTGACGTAAACGATTGTTTTTGTTCA